ATCACCTGACTAGGCTGAGTAAGCAAGATGTTCTAGCAGGTTCCACCACAGAGGTATAAATATAAGGCCTACTCTGCCTGGGACTGTCTCTTCAGACTTGGTCTCTTAGGATCATCCACAGGTACCTATACTGTAGATAGGTCTTAGTCATCAGGTCTACTCCACTTCCTTGTTGCCTGCTTAGACTCTTGGCACTCTTAGGTGAGTAGACTTAGTCAGCCTGTGTTGCCCTAACAGTAGTTGAGTTCTTCCCATTGAGATGTGCAGAGCCTGCACAGTCTGATTGTTGCATCATGTGGGACAAGATACCTGAAGGAGTTTTTGTCAAAAGGGCAAACCCTTTTTGACAACTCGCCATGTGAGTTTCATTATTGATGTCATACACTACACACATCCTAAGCTGCACAGTCTAACAGGAGGACACAATGGTGAATGTTAGACTACATAGGGATACAGGCTGTGCTAAACTTTGAGACAGGTCATACACATGACCCATATTAAAGAACTCCATCACAATCCATTGTGTCTTCCCCTTCCAGTAGCCTGTGGATGGTGTGGAGGCATGCACTGTCATCATAGCTTGACCAAGGTTGAAGGAGTGAACTGGCTGGTAACAATGCTGAATGTGATGTTCAGTAGGCTGTGCAGTCTGAAAAGGGAAAAGCTGACCTCATCTGCAAAGACATCATACATGGTCCCCATGTTGATTTGAAGCAGCAAGGTGGCCGCTGTGTTGAAAGCTGTGGCAGGTGCACAATCACTATTCCCATCAATGATTGTGAAGGAAAGACAGTATCTGCAGGATGCATGTTTCATCAGTATGCAGCCTGAGGGAAGATGGGTTAACTTACTTAGCAATGGGGACAGAAAAACTCTGCTTGCCAGTTGGGCAGTGGTAATGCAGGTTGTTTGGATCAAGGAAGGATTGATGCACCTTCCTATTACAATCCAGTGTAGCGCAGCCTGCATAAGTCACTGAGCACTGCTTGTTGATGTCAAGGGTGCCAGCAATGTGGAAAGTCATTGCCTTTGCAGCCTGGTCAAGGCATTCCGCATGAACTTGGTGGATGTTGACAATGGGAGGGGCTGTCATGAGGCTGCAGGCGGCCAAAGCAATGGTGCCATCAGCACTGCAGGATGTGCTGAGGAGGTGCCATTGGGAAGGATTGTCTTTTGCAGCTTCCCACCTATGAAGCATCAGATTGTGTGGCCTATCTCTGAATGCACTTACCAAGCAGTTAGGTCAGCATAGCCTGGAATGATGGCAGGCTCAAAGAAGACTTTTGTGTATGAAGCCACTGTCTTCAGGGACATTCCATAGGTGCAATCAACAGCAATGTTCTTTAGGAGAGCCACACAACCATCTGTCCCCTCCAGCTCTGCCCAGAACTCATTGAAAGCTACAAGACAAACAGAGCGACCTGAATCATCTACCAACCACATGTCGATCCTCATCATTGGAGCTGCAGATGCATGGCCCTGCAAACACATTAGTCAAAACCAAGGCTGTGCAGTTTGGGATAACTCACAAAGCTTGCATGTCTGGGGGCCTTACCATGCATCACATTGCTTGTGTTAGCAATGATGCATGGAACGTCTGAGGTATGAGTAAGAAAAAGGATGTGCAGCCTAGGGAAGATTACTCACTGATGATCTTCTTGTCTGGAATGCTGGGAAGCTGTATGATTGGGTGGTAGTTGAAGAAATAGAGTGGGATCAAGCCATCATCTGGAATCTGCATGTGGTCAGGCTGCACATCCTAAAGGGTGAACCACAAGCTGCTGTCTTACCTCAGTAAACTCACTGTTCCAGTTGTTGAAGTTGAGCTGGGTGACATGGAACGAGGGGCACCAATGTTGAACTAATGCCATAGCACCAACATTATAAATCTCATATATCTGAGCATCCTAGTCAGCAATATACATGGCAACATAATGATACAATACTCACCTTCCCCTCTTCTATGTCGGAGGCTTGAAGGTCACAGGCCCTGCAGACATCCAAGTCAATTTCCCCTGTTGCATCATGGCAGAGGATGTCGATTGTGCCATGCTCCTTAGGCTTGACCTGGGTGATGCAAATGCACACATTCAGGCTGCGCCATCAGCAGAATGAGCAGCCTGGATCGACCAAAAAACTAACCCTTTCATAAATGCCACAATGGTGTTTATGTTGGCAAATAAAGGCATCATGCCTAAGCCTGGAGGAGCCAAAGGCTGCACAGGTGGCTGAGGCAGAGGGCCAGGGAGAAGAGTTGGATTGGCAGTATAGTGCTGCATGATGGGTGGATCCAAGGGAGAAGATATCAAATGGAGCTGGTCAATTTGTGTTGGGATGGGAGGTGCAGGCTGTGCAACAATGGGTGCATGCAGGGCAACCAACTTGGGAGGAACCTGGCCCACGCCAATGATCATAAAGACAGTCCTGCCCATTTGGTTTTGAGTCGCAGCCTGCATCAGAAGGTGGTTGGCAGGTGCCATCTTGTCTGGGGTGGCAACCAAGTCTAAAGAGTGCAGATAACCCAAGTAAGGGGCATTAGCTGCCTCCCACCCTGGGATGATGGTGGGCATGTTGATGAGGTGGCCAGGGGTGCACCACCTCATCATATCAGTGATTATAAGTGAGACACTTATACTTGATCAGCATTGCAAAGGCTGTGCAGGCTGATTGTAGTACTTACTGACCATTGGCCACCCAATGCTGAGCCCCCCAAATATTGACCATGTTGAGGTTGCTGAACTCACCATGGTGCAGTCAAGGCACAAGATACTGGCCCACAACACAATTGTTCAGGACATCTTGGCCATCGCTGAGAGTCAGGCTGCGCAGAGGATTAGCAGGGTGCAGCCTGAAGAGTGCTTGTGCATACCAGATGAAGGGAGGATCCAGTGGGACAGCATCATCATTGATCAACTCTGTATAGGAGATGATTTGGACCATGATGTCATCATTGAGGTACTCTGCTGTGAGCAATCCATGAGTGAGCCCTCTCAGTGCATCTGGAGTCAGTATGCCAGCCATCAGATAGAGTTAAGCAGAGAGGGAGAGAGGTGGAGTTGATATTGGAGGGGATATGGTGAGAGGATGATGAGGAGCGCATGTATGCATGATGCATACACATGCCTACCCCATGGTGGGGGAGCGCAGCCTCTGCAGGACTGAATAAGTCATGTGATTACCTAGATTTAGGAATTTGCATACTTTGCACACACTGCCTGTGGGAACAGGGAGACCCTGATCCATTGTATCAGAAGAAATCTGGCTCAACTATGAATGATGGGGTGATGGTAGGGGTTGGTAAAGTTGGAGGTGGGAATCCCTAAATAGGCAATGACCCTGGGATCACAAGATCTCCACATTCACTGCAAATTGCAGGGTCCTTGGATACTGTAGGATGGGTAGTGGGGGTCACATGTGCTGACCTCTGCAAGTGCTTAGTATAGGTAAACAATGCTCAAATGCAGCATACAGTGCTTATCTCACCTAGGATACCTGTGCCTGTACCTAGTGTAGATTCTCTATGCTAGTTTAATTGGTTTCATAGGGCTTTGAAAGGTGAGCACAACCATGTAATACAGTTGTGTTTTCCCAAGCATTCAGCACCATTTTCTTCTATTAAACTACACTGATTTACATACTGCAAATGCCCCAGTATTTTACACAGTGGGGATGAGGTGGAGGAGGTTGATGAGGTGCAATATTAGCCCACCTGGGTACCTTAGTTAGCATAGGTTGAAAATCACAATGAGAAAAACTCACCCAGTGCCAGCAAGCCACTGACCATGGATGGCCCATGCTCCTTGATCACCTTGCCCACCTTGGGCACCCTCTTCTTCGCCCCCTTCCAGGCCCCCCCAACCTTCTCCATAGCCACTTCCTCTATCTCCCTCACCTGCTTGACCCTCCCCCCCAGCATGAGCTGTGCCAGACCCTCCCCCATTGCCCCATCCTTGAGCCCCACCTCCCATCCAGCCTTTGCCCAGACCAACTGGGTGCACTTCATCTTCTTCTCCCTCTTTGTGGTAGTGTTCAGTGCACAGATGTGCTGAATGTGCTCAAGGCCATGGTAATAGTTCCATGCCATCACAAAGGCATTGATCTCATCTTTGTAGGCAAGAGCTTTGTCCTTCGTAAGGCTGCCCAGCCTCTTGCAGTCAATCTGGGAGGCCTCCTCCAGCTCCTCCATCATCATGAACTTGGTGGACCCAAGAGGGTCCCAGATGACCTTGTCTTGGGTGGGCTTGGAGGGGTGGTCAGGCTTGCAGGAGATCTGTGAAAGGGGTCAGCATTGTGGGACTGGGAGGAAGGTGCTGCCTCTGAGGAGGCAGCACAACTGTATTACTCATGCAAGTAATACAGAGACAGTCCTATAATGAGGACTCACCTCATTGGCCTTGTCCACAGTCATTTCCTCCCCCTCCCCCTCTTCCCCCTCCTCACCTGCACCCTTGCCCTCCTCTTCCCCCTCCTCCTCATTGTCCTTGAGATGCTCACCAATGAACATCTGCCAGAGCTCATTGCCACCCATCTCATCAACAGGCCAGCTGAGCTGACAAAGGCACTTGAAGAGAAGTTTGCCCATCCCCACTTCAACAGGGGTCAGGCTGCCATACTTTGTATATGCCCCCTCCATGCAAGAGGGGGGCATATGGGCCCTCTCAGGCTTCTTTCCCTTCTTATCAAGGGTGGGGAAGGGATGTGCATGGCCCTCATGGGCTGAGGAGGCATCAGAGGAGCCAAGGGAATTGCTGGGGGCCTTGCAGCTGGAGAAGAGGTGCTCACCCTTCTCCCAGCAGTCCAGCATCTTCTCTAGGATGCAGAGGGGGGAGGAGGGGGTGTCATCACCAGAGGAGGAGGATGAGCCAAGCACAGAGGAAATGATATTGCTGATGTTGGCCATGCTTGTTGTGATCATTGAGATGGAAAGAGCAGAGGAGCCAAGCCAGTGCACAAAGGTAAGAAGGCATCTGGATAGGGACACAGCTGTGGATAGGGGTTAACCCCTATCCTGCAAGCTGTGTCCCTTCATACATGAGTTAGACTCATGTATGCAGGCTGTCAAAACCCAGCAGCCTGCAGGCGCTTGGCTGGCACAACCATGTAATACAGTTGTGCTGTCCCCTGAGGCTGACACCACCAGGGCAAAGAGGGCAGGTTGACTGTCACCAGCAAGAGTAGTCACCAGTAGGTAGAGCCATGAGAATATATTGACAGTAGTAGCCAGAGGTCACCCAGACAGACAAAAAAAAGCTTGAGAAAAAAACAATGACAAGCTTGAGGGGGAGAACAATGAACACATGTATGTGGCATTGATCTTGGCAATCCCTGAGATCATCAATCCTGGAGCCAATGTTGGATCTATTTCTGGCTGCAGCCCTAAGGGGCTTGCTCACCATCTCTGAACCCCTCACCATCATCTACCTCCTACCACAACATGGTCTAGATCAAATCTGTCTTCCAATTCTTTCCATAGCTGATTAACATTTGCATTGTAAGTACATTTGGATTTTATACTATGATATTCACTACTAATTGCATTGAAACAGGTACAAACCCACCTTGGACAAGATGGCAGGTTGTAGAGTGTACCCCATCCCTGCTGGTGTGCGCAGAGATGATACAGGGGCCAGGAGTGGGGAGAATGGTGCATGTTTCATTTCTCAGCCTATATTATGTATGCTGATGTGGGGCTGTAGATATTGTGCTGCCCTTCCCAGCCCCTCAACGTAACTGCCCCAAGCAAGTGACCAATGTAGTTGCTCAGGGCAAGAGGGCAGACATTGGGGGAGAGGGGGCACACAACCATATTACTCAAGTCCTTGCTAGCCTGTGTGGCAAGGCAGCCTCTGCCTTGTGGGGAGATGACAAAGTCATCCTTGGGTCTGGCAAACCCAAGGGCACAACTCTCTGCACCACAGAGAGTGACACCATCAACTCTGCAGTCCCCACCTCCTCAGCAAAGGCCAGCTCTGCCAGTGCTAATGTCTCGCCCATCCAACCCTCCAGCCCCTCCCTCACCCCACTCACCACCTCCAACACCTCCCTCACCATTCTCTCCAGGTCTTGGGACTCCTCCCCTGGGTCTTCTTTTGCTCCTCCCACATACAGCAACCTCCCTGACCTCATGACTTCTGACACTGAGACTGACTGCGAATCGACTCATATACATTCCAATTTGATGAAATCTATGACCACTGGCAACTATCAACTGGCTTCCAACTGCTCCCTCCCCCTGGCTGACTTCATCTCTGGCAACAAGATCCCTACCTCGGCAATCATCATTGACATCCCCAAAACCCACACATCCAATGTCACTGACATCCTCCCCCCCTACTCTGAGTGCCTGAATGACGGGCCCAAGTACAAGGCCCCCAAATGCTTACCTCATGCTGTTTTCAAACCCCCCGGGAGGAAGAAGCCCGTTTTTGCCAACAGCAAGACCTCCAAGCTCCCAAAAGTGACCAGGTCCAGCATCACCACTGAGGACCACACACACTGGGTGAGGGAGGTGGAGGAGCATGCAGTGAAGCTCAGCAGGGTCAGAGCAGCAATGAGCCTGATGGAGCCGAGGATTGGGAGGGTGAGTGCTTGAGAAGATGGGGAGGTTTTTCTCACTTCTGCTCTCACAATTATTACTTGCTTGTCCTGAGCTCTTTTCCTCTGTCTTTGTTTCTCCCCTTTCCAACCCATACCTTCTTCCCCCTCTCCCTATCTTGATGCCTGCACACTCTGTCTTACATCTGATGTATTATGCCATGTAGGGTGCATCTAACTTGTAATACATTCATTAAAAAAATTTGGAGATGCTGACCTGCACTGAGCTCATCACAGCTCAGTGCAGGTCAGCACAAGACCCTCCCATTGACCTCCTGTTGTCACCCAAAGCTGGTAAGGTGCATACATCTTGCTCTTGACATCCTTCTACTCATGCTGACAGCAAACTCAGGCTTTCCCATGACTCAAACTGATCAACCAACAATCTGACAGAGTCCGTACAATGGTAATGTCCTTCAACAATGGGCTTACAGCCCCAAAAATACACAACTCCCAAGCTGCAATGCCCAGCAAGTCCTGACATCGAAATATGGTGCAAATGTTGACTATGTGTCACACCAAGTTGACCCAAAGGCATCACGTTCAGCCTGAAGAGCTATCAAGAGCATCGACATGGAGTGGCTGGTTGTCTTGCTTGCCTGGCAAGACAGGCATGCCAGCAGCAAATGCCATCTAAGAAAGCTTGTTCCTCAGAGAGTCAATCTCAATCTCAAGCCCCCAGCCAACTCTCAGGCCTCCAGGATGAGGAGATGCTTTCTTATGACTTTGACAAGCCAGTATTGTACTCTACACCTCCCAATGAGGCGTCAGGAGAAGGTCTGCTGGAGGGGGAGTTGACAGTGGTAGCCCAGACTTTGTAGTAGGTAGCACTAGATGAATCAGGCCTAATCAAATCATTGGCTCCTAAGGTAGAGCCACTCAAATTGCCAGTCTGAAAGTCCTGGGTGAGCTCTGAAGCTGGAAGCAGCAATCCAAAGGGCCTCCGAACAAGAGAGGAAAAGGAGAACAAGCCATATGAGGTGAACAAGGGAGGCTTCCGAAGGTCAATCAGTTGAATTGAGGCTCAGATCAGTCTAAGAAGGAGCTAGAGCAAGGAGAGACTTTAAAGTTAAGCAGTAGTATTAGTTGTAAGTTAGAGAGACACCCGTCTTGAATGAGTGCAGTTGATAGTAAGTAAGAGAGGAATCTGAGCATCCCTATCCAAAGTATCCGAATCCGCCTATATATGTTTGGAGTGGTTCAGACCTTCAGACTACTACTAATGCTATGTCTAAGGGTCCACTTCTTGTTTCCAATAGTCCAGTTTGGCCAAGTTCTAGATGTCATTCAAAGAGGCATTCAAAGGTCAGATTTGAGCTCAAAACTTGAATGTGCAGCACAGTATACAACTTCGACCAGCTGACCAAGACTCCCTCGACTCCTCCTTTCCCTCTTCCTCCTCCTCCTCCTCCTACCCCTCCACCACCTCCACCTATACTCTCACCCGCTTCTTTCTGCCCTGCTGTGACCTCTGGTAATACAGTTCTGTCTTTTGACAGCACAACCATATTACACCCCTCACCACCTCCTCTCTCCTTACCTCCTCAGGTCCCATGAGATCCTCCAGCACCCTCTCACTCTCCCTCTCCTCTTCCTTCCCCTCCCTCTTGCTCACCTCCACCTGCTCAAGATCTCGAGATGCAGGTTCTCCCCTCTCGTGAAGTCCTTCTCAGCTTGGCAGTTCCAGTTCCAGTCAAGCATCTTGGTATCCCAATCTCTGCAACACCCATTCCTTATGAGCTTGCTTGGATTGCTCTGGAGCCTCTCGCAGTATATCTTGCCTTGCACACCAATCTGGTAGTATGGGGCTTCTGCCTCATACTTCTGCTTGTGCACACTTGGTTTCAACTTGCTGTGCTCTCTGTCTCTTGATTTTCTACTCTATCTTGGAATGGCTGAGTGTGTTACCCAAGGCAACCTCATACTTGCCTCTGAATGGACCTCCCCACACTCTGACAACCATCTACAAGTGCCTGCATCTGATCGATTGATTCAAGACGAAGACTCTGTGTCCTGCATGCTGGGAGTTCAAGAAGTTCAATGAGGAACAGCCAGATCTGGGCCTGCTGGAAGAACTGGGAGCTGAGGAGGAGTCTCCTACTGGTTTGTGACAAGAGACATGCTCTTGATGCAGCAAACCATTGTACAAGACTTCAGCCAACTCTGGCTTTTAGCAAGCAAGGAAATCTGCACCTTACAACATTCTCTCACTCCAACTCCCTGATATTCTCTCACAACCTGGATTCAAAGAGGCATGCAAATCTTACTTGGACTGGACAGTTGAACAGGGTGTCTATGCAACTATCCAAGATGGCTCCATTTGGCAGGAAATGAAGGCACCAGATGGGTCTTGGTTCTTTCCACCAAATCACCAAGAAGCTCTGGAACTGAACAAACTGTGTCTGGGCATTCTGGTGTCTTTGGATTGGTTCAACCCGAGCCAATCTGCAGTTGCAGAATCTCATTCAACTGGCCCTCTTGCTGTTTGCATTGCTAACCTGCCCCCTGAGCTAAGGTATGCAAGTTAACCTGTTTTCTTAATGTTCACCCTGACAATTTTCCAGATTTCATATTTGAAATCTCTATCTGATCACCATCACACCTGGCCCCAAAGAACCAAATGCCAAGCAGCTACAACCCTTCCTCCAGCCTCTTGTCAACAATCTTCTGCAGCTCTGGCAAGAAGGTCTTGTTGTCAAGATGCCCAAACACCCTGAAGGTGTACATATGGGCAACACAACCATATTACAGATCTTCACTGATCTGTAATACCCTGTAGGCTGGCTCATGCGTGTGGCCCTCCTAGGAGTCATATGTGATCACCCAGTGCTTTGCAAGATGTGCAGCTTTGCCAATCACTGGCATAGTGAGCACACTTGCACCCAGTGCAAGATTTCACACAACAACACCCTCAAGAAAGGCTGGGACACACAAGGCATCCCCCTACATGACAGCAAGAACCACAAGGAATGTGGCGCTTGAATGTACTTGTTAGAGGAAGAACTCCAGCGTTTGCTGAAGAACAAAGCTCCTAAGAAGCAGATTTCGGCTGCCAGGAAGAAGATCACAGAATATTTCAGCAAATATGGCATGCAATGGCCCAAGTTTCACCAGCTGCCATATTTTGATCCAGTGACAATGGCCATCACAGACCCCATGCACACCTTCCTGTTGGATATGTGTCTCATTTCCCTGCTTAGCTCTTAATATGGTTGTGCTACCCTGAGGAACACAACCATAGTACTCATTGCTTCTTCCTCCCCTTCCCTATCAAGACTATACTGACGTTACTTCTATCTAGGTGTGGTCAAGATGCTATGGTTTTCCAACTGGGTCAAGGGTGGGCATAAGGATGGTGTGCTGATGGGTGTACTCCATGAACACATGGATGCCAGCATACACTGAGAGCTGGATGAGATCCATGCCATTCTTTCAATGGTAAGCATGATTTCCATTGTCTGTATTGTTGAAACTGACAATGAAATGCCAGTTCAAGATGCCCACCTGGATTGCCCACCTGCCCACCCAGGTCAGGTCTCCAGCAGGAGGCAGCTTGACATCTGATGAATGGAGGGCCCTCGCAGTCCTATATGGACCAGTCACGGCCAGTCCCTCTACCTCTTTCATTCCTGCTCACACTCATCTTCACCAGATTCCTCCCATACTCCTCAAGGCCACAGACCACCCAAACATCAACTCCAACATCACTGCCAACTACCTGAAGCTCGCAACAGTCATCAAGATCTTCACTTGCTGACAGCTGACGGAGATAGAGCTCGCTAGAGCTGAGCAGCTCTGCAGAGAGTTCTTCAAGGGATACCTGGAGGTAAGCCATCATCTTTGGATAATCCTGCTTGTGCTGCCTTCATCATGGCACCACAACCATATTACAAAGTAGCTTTCCCTCCCTGAAGTTTCCCAAGCTGATTCTGCTGCAGATCTACAAGGAGAAGAACATTACCCTGACTTTTCACTGGGTAACACACATGGGAGATCAAGTTTGATGATATGGGCTGGTGCATGGCTTCTGGGCCTTCCTCTTCAAGAGGCTCAACAAGGTCCTGAAAACCAGATGCACAAATGGCCACAAGCATGGCGCTATCAAACTCATGTTTGCATGGGAGTTCAAGTGAGAGCTCAGTCTCTCAAGACTGGTAAGCTCTCCCTTATTGACTCCCACAGGTTGTGCAGCCCAGTGAAGGGCAGCACAACTGTATTACCCTCCTGAAGCCCCTCACTCCATTCCTAGACCTCAGTCCTCCTCAATCAAAGCCAGGACCTCCTTGCCCACCTCATCACCCAAGAGCTCAACAAGAGGACCAAGGACCTTGCCTGCAAGGGCACTCTCACCTCCATGGTCGCCCACACTGCTGATGACACTCTCATCACTCAAGGCTCTGCAAGATGGCAACCTGTGGGCCAATCTGAATGGGCCCATCTCAACCATGCCATGCAAGAGCATCTTCTCCACTGGTATTGAGGTGCTTTCCCTGACCAGCCTCTCTATCTGGCCACCAACCAACAAGCTCCCCACAAGGGACCATTCCTCAACACTGAAGGCCTCTTCTTCCCCACCCTGCTGCTTGATGGCAACAAGATTATGGCCACCCACAAACATGCACACAAGAAGGCAAACTCCCTCATCATGGTCCACTATGGCCCTGGTCTCAAATGGGCGGGCAAACTTCACCAAATCTGGCAGCACACGCAGGCCGGCATCAAGAAACCTCAAACTTTCATGGACATCACCTTCTTCATACATCCAGAGCAATATCACCCTGAGCTGGCCAAGCTCTACATAGACCTCCCAGAGCTGGAGGTCCATTTCTGGGAACATGAGTGCTACCAGAGGGCAGAGGACCTTTTGGGCCTCCCCCTAGTGCAAGTGAATGAGATTGCTGGCACTGCAGCTTGCTGGACTCTGGAGTTAGATGGCCGGAAAATGTGGATTACAACAGGTATGTCCAAGGTATGTCTTGTCCACAATCAGCATAGTATTACAGCTAATAGAGTTCTACCACAGAGTGGTCAATCTTTGTAATGAAAACTAGCTATGGTCAGGTTGTTTTGTCACTTTTCTTTTGGTCAAGGCTGACAGGCACCTTGAACAGATCCTGTTGTACAAGTGATTTCTATCATAATCCATAAGTAAGCATGTGCATCATCAGATGGAGAAAGGGACTCACTTTTGGAAGTAATAGCATAGTTGGTTGTGCTGTGAGGGCAGCACAACCATATTTCAATTACACAAAGCCATCATCCGAGAGGCCATCTGCTGTGTCTGACTCATACTCAAGCCTGGCCAGCTCACCACACAGCTTCTTACCAAGGGAGGCCAGGGAGGTATTATGCCTCTATCCCAATTGGCAACCCTCAGCAAGACATCCCTCACCCACTGCAGATCAAGCATCCAGTTGGCAGGGATGTTCTCCAGCAAGAAAGGCAATGTATGGCTGATATTGACACAAGTATACTCTGGCCTCTTCTTCTTCTTGTCCTTTGGAGAGTTGTTGATGAGGGTAGGTCATTTCTTCTTCTTGGCCATGATGAGGGACTTCTCCCATTCCCACAGCTGTGAGCAAGGTAAGCTGCAGTTCAACATGGCACTGGACACTGACCTTCTGATTTTTCCAGGCAGGATGAGGGACCTCCAAGACCTTGAGGTCATCATTGTCAATATCCACAGCCAAGATCTTGCCATGGTCAAAAAGCAGCTTACACCAAGCACAGGGCATCTTATGCTCTTTGCCTCCTGACCACTCCTCTGCCATGTGTTTGGGATCACACATATTGAGCTGGACCTTGAGCAAGTCCAGGCCATTCTCCTCACAGAAGGTCTTCAGCATGGGAGAGTTGCAAACCTGTCCAGCACACTGGGTTGGAACTCAGTGAGAGCCTGTGTCAGGAGTCACCTCATTTTGGTCTGGATCAAAGCAATATCAATGCTATTTACAAGCATCTCAATGCTAAGGACAAGCATCTTGAGGATAGCAGCAAGCTTTGCAATGCCATATCTGTGCAAGCAGACAAGATCAGGCATATTGTATGGTTGCTCAAGGCTCATTATGATATCAAAGAGTATCACAAATATTGATTGGCAACCATACCAGGGTGCACTCCTATCCACCTTCCCATGGTATTGCATGTGATCTTGTGTCAGGGACCACTTATCGGGATTGCTTGGCAACTTGGAGAAGTCACAATATCAGGGTTTGGCAATATCAAAGACCAAGAAGGCATTGAGAAGCAAGTTCTCACAATATTGGCTCATTGGTAATATCGAGATGGTATTGCCATCTTGGCATCAAGTCCACACAGGCTTGCCCTGAGGTAACCTCTCCTGTACAGATTATCAGCCACAATCTCAAACTGCTTCTAACCCTTTTGTACATAGAGTTGCCCATTATTGTGATGTATGCCTTAGATTTGATCTCTCAGGAATTCCACTGTCTAGTCAATATTCTGGTCTTATGACCAATCTCCCTCGAGAAGCCAAGTGTGCTTCAATAGTGTGATCCTCTCTTCAATATTGACATCAAGAGAGCATCCTCCACTCATGATTACCTTGATTTACTTGTTGTACCTCTCTGAGCAGCCAATTGCTTGACCAAGATGCTGAGTCCTCCTCTCAGACAACTTGAGCTCTGGTCAATAGCCCTATCTTGGGATGATATTGGACCTTCAGCCCAGCCAAACAGCCAATTCCCCTCAATATGGACAAGCCCCTCAGTATCACATTCTCACTCGCTATGTGCCACCTTTCTTGATGTTTGGAACTCCACTATGTGGACAGCTGATATGCACAATAGGACAAAGCCTAGTCAGCATTCCCCTTCAGTTGGTGTTGACCCCCACTGATATCCACAACTCCCCAAACCAATGCTCTGAGAGTCATGATGATATTGGCAGCTGTCTCTTGACACCTCACAATATCTTGGTTCAAGAGTCTCACACCCCTCTTCATGTCACAAAACCTCTTCTTGACAGCAAGTCAACAGCTTGCAGATCCAGTCTATGGCCAGTGGTCATATCGATGGATTACTGATGCCCTCAACTCTGTCTCAATCCAACTCCCCTTTCCCATCATGGCCGAGGACTCTATGATATTGTTTGAGAACACACGAGACACTTGATAGCATGCAAGATGCTTAGTGCTCCTGGATATTGACATGATCCAATGATATCAACCATCCCCTCACTATTCCCCTTCACTACACCTGGTGTCACAATAACCCAAACTGAGCTCCAGTATACTTGATATTGGGTTGTTTGGGCATCAGGGCTACACTGAGATTGGAGCTTTGCCCTCGATACAAGATCTCAAGCTTGCTAGATGGTGTGCCCTGACAGCCTGTCTCAAGGGCAGCACAACCATATTACTCATGGTTGGCATCCTTGCCCTCCTCCTCCCAATCAAATTCAAGCCCTGTGCACCATCTCCAGTTCCTTCCTCTACCTCATGCTGATTCTTGTGGATCTTCATGAAGTTTGACCACATGCGACTGATGATCCAACCCAAAAGGTGTCCGAAATATCAGAGGTCCAAATAAGTTGGTCCGATGGGTGGTGTGCAAGAACTTGCTAGGAAAAATATGGGGGAGATGGGGAAAGTCAGTAGAAAATGCTGGAGTCAGCCTGAAGCTGAGCTGTCAGAAATTGGTCAGTAAATCAGAGCTTGGTGTCCATCTAGTCAAGTCTCAATAGGTCCAGTCAAATCTGCTAAGTCAAGTCCAGTCTGCCAGTATACCAGTAATTGGATCTGTATATGTCTAATGGAAAGGGGCAGAATAATCTAGATACAGGAGTCTCTGGAAACTACTTATACTAGCTACTCTAAACTATACTCAATACTAATCTGGTCTTCAGATACCTCTCCAAGGCAGACCTTGGTATCCAGGTGGGTTGATCCCATTGCAGAGGAAACCTGTGGTCATCATGCCAAATATCCGAGTGGTCCCATCACCTGGGGAATCATAGTAGTTGCCATGCCGAATATCCGTGGGGGGGTCAAGACTCATTGCCGGGGTGCATTGTCCATGTAGTGAGGGCCCATAGTGCTGCGCAATGGTCTCTAAGGCCCAAAAATAACCATGGGAATACCAGCCTGACACACCCCACCAGAGGTGAGGTTGTTCACTGATCAAGATCAACAGCACTTCTGCATTCACCCAAGCTGCTTGATGCTCAAGAGGAATGCACTTGTCCTGGCCCTGCAACCATATTGCAGTAAATAATACAGTTGTGCTGCTCTGAAAGGCTCCCTGCTTACCATTTCCTGTTGAAGCATGAGCTCCACAACCCTCTCCATAATCATCAAATTTGGCAATGTGTTCTTGTTCTTTGAGAAGTCCGACAGCAAGAAATTGCCTTCTTCATCAGGTGAACATGTTGAGCTGCCAACTGAATACATCTTCTTGCCAGGCTCATAGGCGAACAGGTTGTATCCAACAATGCACACTTGAGTGTGAAGAGGGTAAGCATCTGATCTCTGGTGAACAGCTGACTGACACTTACCTGTAGATGCTTCTTCCATTTGATCTGGTGACCCAAGAGGAAGACTGGGTTTATGTCAAGGACAGTGAGCTTCTTTTTGACCACCTTGGGTGTGACTGGCATCTCTTCTCCAGGATGGAGCAAGTGCAGCCTGGACTTGTGCTTCTTCTTGGCTGGCTTGGCATTAGCCTGCTGATGGGCAGCAGCATGCCAAACAACAGGCGAGTCCTCAATATCAGCATGGGCATTGTCATCATCAGCAGAAGGCAGGGAGACAAGGCCAGCCTGGGGAGAGGGTTTGGGTGTGGGCATCCAGGAGGAAGAGAAGGTTGAGGAGGTGTTAGGGCAACACAGGCTGACTAAGTCTGCTCACCTAAGAGTGCCAAGAGTCTAAGCAGGCAACAAGGAAGTGGAGTAGACCTGATGACTAAGACCTATCTACAGTATAGGTATCTGTGGATGATCCTAAGAGACCAAGTCTGAAGAGACAGTCCCAGGCAGAGTAGGCCTTATATTTA